CATACCGGGGGTTTACAAAGAATATCTGAGCTGCATCGTGCTTATCAACTATTATATTACGTTCTTATGTTTCCTAGAGGTGATGATGGTTAGCATCCGTATATCCCTATCAACAGTTCCACGTCTCCTCAAGGATCTATTAATAATGATAAATTGATCTCTGATCATGAAGAAGAAGTAACTACTATGAAAGATGTCATGGCTATAAATTATTTCGCATACCAACTTCACCTTGGACGTTCAGGTGAAGCTGTAGTTCATCACTTATTTGGCCACTTGTATGCAATTGTAGAACAAATGCGCCTTAACTATCTACGTTTTAATCAAAAAAATATACGCGCAGAATTGTATAGCAGATTACAAGATGCAGTGACTGCTACAGATAATGTATCACAAACTGCAAACATAGGGCAATGTATAATTTTGCCATCAACCTTTACAGATAGACCCCGTCACATGGTGCAACTTTATCAAGATGCAATGGCTATTGTGAGAAAGCTTGGCAAGCCTGATTTATTTATTATAATGACTTGCAATCCACAATGGCCTGAAATTACTAACACCCTTCTTCCAAGTCAAACTGCACAGGATCGCCCTGATTTAATTTCGCGTGTTTTTAATATAAAATTAAAAGCGCTACTTAAAGATATTATCAAAGAATCTGTTTTCAGAAAAGTTATAGCCTATCTTTATATAATCGAATTTTAGAAGCGTGGTCTATCTCATGCCTATATACTTATTATCCTTGTACATGAGCATAAACCCAAAACAATTGAAGACTACGATTCAATTGTTTCAGCTGAGATTCCTAACAAAGATAATGATCCTATTCTGTATGACACAATCAAACAATCAATGATACATAGTCCCTGTGATATATTTATGCCAACTTCCCCGTGTATGAAAAATGAAATGCTCTAAAGGATATCCGAAACGATTTCAAGAAACTACTACTATGAATAATGATGGCTATCCTATCTACAGACGAAGAAATAATGGCGTAACTATAGAAGTGCGTAGCTCAACTTTGGATAACAGGTAGGTCATTCCGTATAATCCTTATCTTTACACTAAATACAATTGTCATATAAATGTGGAAATCCGTTCTTCCATTACTGCTGTGAAATATCTTTTTAAGTACGTTTATAAAGGTCATAATCGTGCTACAATAGAAATAAGAGGCCAAAACCAAGAATACGAACAGAGACCTAATAAAGATAAAATAAGTATTTACCTAAACACTTGATATATATCTGCATCTGAAGCTTCATGGTGCT